GCCAATACCACATTCCTTTTTTTTTTTTTTTTTGGATACATAGAATTTTATATCTAACAACTTAAAAATACACATTTTCCTCAACTATACATGGAAATTTATAAAAATTGATATGAACAAGTCATAGAGAACACATAAAAAATTGAAAAATATTATAAGGAATTATCTTTGACTACCACACAATACAATTATAAGTTAATGTAAATAGATAAATTGTTAAAATTCCTGATGTATTTTGAAAATGTAAAACCACATTGCTAAATAATTAGTGCAAATTTAAAATACCTACACCTGAATGATATGAAAACATTACATAGCAATATTTGAGGAATAAAGCAAAGCAGGCTTTGAAGAACATTTATATTTTATGTAGATACATGAGATAAGTTAGAAAATGAAGAGAATAAACTACGGGTGTGTGTGTGTGTGTGTGTGTGTGTGTGTGTGTGTGTGTGTGTGAAAATGCATTAAAAAAAGAATAGATTTTCATGTAAGAAGACTGCTGTAAAAGTATCATTTATATTCAGTACTATTTTGTACCAGTTGCAGGAGTGCAGCTTAGTAGACAGACATATGGAATATCCTACAAAGTGCTCTCCTGTTATCCCAAGCACGCACCTGGTACCATACATATACACTCAACGCAATATCATCCTTTCTTATGCCGTATTTACATCCCCGTGACTATTTTGTGATTATTTGTACTTCTTAATCCCTTCAGCTATTTCATCCAGTCCCCCAACCCTACTCCCCTGAAGCAATCATCACTCTGTTCTCAGTACCTATGAGTCTGCTTCAGTTTTGTTTGTTTTTTCTCTTCTTTAGCTCCCGCATAAAAGTAAAATCATATTGTATTTCTTTCTCTGTGTGACTTATTTCACTTAGTGTAATACTCTCTAGTTCTATACATGCTATTGCAAATGATAAGATTTTATTACCAAATAATATTCCGTAGTGTAAATGTAGCGCCACTTGTTATCCACTTATCTGTTGATGAGTACTTGGGTTGCTCCCATATCTTGTTATTGTAAATAACACTGCAATGCACATAAGGGTGCACAAATTCTTTCAAATTATTGTTTTGGTTTCTTTGTGTATATATCCAAAAGTGGGATCACTGGGTCATAGAGCAGCTCCACTTTTAATTTTTTTGAGGAAACTTCATACTGTTCTCCACAGTGGCTGCACCAATCTACATTCCCAACAGCAGTGCACAAGGATCCCCTTTTCACCACATCTCGCCAACGTTTGTTATTTGTTGATTTATTGATGATATTCTGACAGGTGTGAGGTGATATCTCATTGTAGTTTTTTTGTGGGTTTTTTTTTAAATCCTCACCCAAGGATATGTTGCCTCCCAACTGGGGATCAAACCCACAACCCACATATATGCTATGACCTGGAATTGAACCTACAACCTTTTTTTGTAGATGGGACGATGCTCCAACCAACAGAGCCACCAGGCTGGGGCTCTTATTGTGGTTTTAATTTGCATCTCTGATAATTAGTGACATTGAGCATCTTTTCATGTTTATCGGTCATCTGTATGTTCTCTTTGGAGAACATCTGTATGTTCTATTTAGGTCCTCTGCCCATTTTTTAAATTGGATTTTTGGTGGTTTGGGGGGGTGTTGATTTGACTTCTTTGTAAATTTTGGATATTAACCCCTTTACAGGTGAATCATTGGCAAATATATTCTCCCATTCAGTCAGTTTTCTTTAAAAAAAAAAATGTATTTGCCTCCTGCACCGCCCCCCACACCTCCAATGGGGATGCGCCCGCAACCAAGGTACATGCCCTTGACCGGAATCGAACCTGCGACCCTTGAGTCCACAGGCCGACACTCTATCCATTGAGCCAAACCAGTTAGGGCGTCCTTTTCTTGATGATTTCCTTTGCTGTACAAAAGCTTTAGTTTAGTGTAGTTCCCTATCTTTATTTTTCCTTTTGTTTCCCTTGTATACCATACTATTTTGATTACCATGGTTTTATAGTAAGTCGTAGAATTGGATAGTATCAGTCCTCTGTTTTTCTTAAGCATAATATTCGCTATTTTGGACCTTTTGCCTTTTCATATAAACTTTAGAATTAATTTGTCAATATCCACAAAATAACTTGCTGTGGTTTTAACTGAAATTGATTTGAGTCAATAGCATAAGCAAATGTGAAATTTCCTCTATTCAAATTCTTCCTAAAATATCAATTGTTTTGCCCAAAGTCAGCATTATATCAGAACTTATTATATTATATTACAGATATACCTTTTCTTCCCCCTGAGCTTTTTGAAAGTTAATGGTGATTTTTCACTTTTAGGTACTTGTGTATAAGTCCCCTAGGAAGAAGGACATATACCTATATAACCACTATTATTGACCCCAGGGTAATTAACATTAATTCATCAGAAAACATGCCTGTCCTCAATAAAGCTGAGTGTTTTTTTTTTTTCTTTTGATTTTTATTCCTATCCTGTACTAATCACTGTGCTATGTTGGGATGTGAAGATAAATAAGAAAAGTGCCTGCCTTTAAGAAATGTACTCTCCTGCCTTGGCTGGTATGGCTCAGTTGGTTGAGCATCATCCCATGCACCAAAAGGTCACCGGTTCGATTCCCAATCAGAGCACATACCCAGGTTGCTTATTTGATCCTGTTACTCTCTCCCTTTCCCTCTTTCTTTTAAATTAATAAAAAAAAACATTTTTTTTTTTAAAGTTCAGACTCCTGGAGAGACAGATATTTAAGACAGAGGTGATAGGCTGGGATGAGGCCGCAGTAGCTTTATTTACCTCCCTTCCCTCCAGGAGGGTGTCAGCATGAATATTCTCTCTTTGGATAAGGAACTATTCCAAGTGCTGCTTGGGAGCCTGCGTTCTGACCCTGATTCCTCAGCCTGATGTGCCTTTATGCCCAGCCCTGATGTGCTTGCATCTGTGTAGATGTGAACAGGATGTCATTAGTCCATCTGATTCTTTCTGTTTCTGTACAAGGAGGCATGACCAAGCACAGAGAATGAGGAGGGAGGCTTTGAGAACTAGTCTGAGGGTGGTTGCTTACTTCCACAGGTCAGCTGCATCAGATAAAACTTGGGTTCAGCCATGAATGCCAGAGACCCAAATTAAGAGTGGCTGGATCAAGATAGGAGGTTTTTCCTTATCATGTATTAGGAGATGGCTGGCCCAGGGTGGGAATGCTGGCTCAGACCCACGAGGTCATCCAGGGACCTAGACTCACAGTGGCTCTTGCTCCATCATCCCCTCTATAACAAGTAGGCGGACGCCAGCCCCCTCATAGTTCAGGAAAGCTTGTACCCACATTCCCAGCAGCAGGATAGAAGAAGAGGCATCATTTTCCTGCCAATAAAGCCACATTTTGTAAACCACACACCTCACTTCTGTCTACATCTCGTTGGTTGAGTAAATGAGATGGCTAGAATTTACGTAGACAGCCATGCCTGTATGCAAGAAGGTGCTGAGAAACGTAGTTATCATTTGGAAGGCCATGTGCCAAGCTAAACATAGAAGGGTCTGTTTCCTAGGAGCAAGGAAGAATGGATACTAAGGGCCAGCTTTCTATCCCTTATCTAGTAGCATGTCTATAAAATGTCCCTTGGATGCCCCTTAAAAATAGGTTTATTGGCCAAATAATTGTGGAAACATTAAACACCGTATTCATTTCATAGAGATTCACAGTGCAGAGTAACATATAAAGGCTCTGAGAAGTTCTGCAACAATCTGTCCTCTCCATCTTTATATAACTTATCTGGCTCAAATCTCTTTTCAAAACCTTGTTTTATTTATTTTTTTTTTTACAGAAGCCCTATCCACCTAAGCTTTGGGAAATACTAGTTGGGGAACTATTGATGTCTTCTAGTTTACAGTGATGGGAGCATTTTTACAGCACTTCTTTTCGTGATGTAGTCAACAGCAATGTGTGTTTATTGTGTCAATCAGAGGTTAATCCAAGAGAGAACTACCGGGAGATACATACAGGGATTTACTTCAGGAATGTGGTGTTGCACAGTGTGGGAGCTGGTTAGATATATGTACGGCTGTCGTCTTTGTGTGTGATCATGGAGCTCGGAGTGTACTAGTGAGCAGTTATGGAAGAAGGCGGTAAAGTTGGGGAGAAAAAGAATAAGCTGGAATTGATGAGGATGGATGGGAACTTGGGTCAGCCCGTCGCTGCCTCCAGCTTTAGCATGTGAGTGTCCTGATGAAGCTAACGCCCAGCATTATGGAACTAAAGGTAATCCTGGCTCGGGAGTCAGAGAGCTGGAACAGGATCCAAGGAGGTGGATCCAGGGGAGGGTGGCCTCAGCAGGCCTGGCCGCGCCCCACACCGGGAGCTGCCTCGTGCTCCTGCACCACCTTCTGTTGAGAATAAAACACAGCCGATTGCTTCCTTTCCATTTTCCCATGTGGACCCGAAACACACAGAGTTCTGAGAAATGGAGTTCGGCCTCCAATTGTATCCATCAGATAGTCTACAGGAATGATATTTGTAATGGCATTAAATTGAAAATGAGCTATTAACCATAAATGTATATCAACAGTTAAGTAGATAAACAGTGTTATCGATATATGCATAGGGTGGAAGTACTTGCTCCACGCACCCAGGTGAATGAATCTTGCAAAAATTATTGAGCAAAAGAGAACAGACATGATGATCACATTTATACAGATTTCAAAAACAGTAAAGTTAATGCATAGTGTTGGAAGTCAGGAGAGGGTTGGTGACATACAGATCTGTTCTGCATCTTGGTCTTGGCATTAGTTACAGGTGTATGCACATTGGGAAAAACCCATTGAGCTGAATAGTTATGATGGCACTTTGTATAGAATTTTTCTGTACCTATGCAGTACAGAATTTAGGTAAATTAAAGCTTTAACAAGTTATTGAGTTTGTTTCTTGCAGGGCTAGGTGTGCTGAGCCCTGCACTCATTCAGCCTTGTTCTTTGAATGACTTTGCTTCTTTTAACTCTGTTCTCCCTTCCCCACAGGAAACATGGTGGAATGGTGTTTACCACAAGATATTGACCTTGAAGGCGTTGAGTTCAAGTCTATGGCCAGTGGGTCCCATAAAATCCAGTCTGATTTCATGTAAGTACTTCTGAATGTAAGTATTCTCCATTTTCTTTCCACCCTGTACTTCACCCAAGCATAAGGTGGTCTTTAGGAAGTGCGTATAAATGCCCTGAAAAAAAAAATATAGTTTTGCATTTATATGATTTTTCTAGCAAGAAGGTCCTTACATTTCCTTAAGTTTTCAGTGGGTTTCATGACCCAAAGAAGTTAAGAGCTTTTAATGTAGAGGTCCTCTCCCTTTCTAAAAAACTGTTGGCCCTCACTTGAGGTTTGGCTTGAATGAAAGCATGGAGTTTTGTTTTTGTTTCAGTTAATCCAAGATATTTATGTGCTAAAGCTTGAAATTCCAGCCTTAAATCAAACCAGGTTACCGTCCTGTGTAATTAAGGTTCTTGGGAGAAGAAGCAAAGGGAAAGAACGTGAGCGTAACGAAGTTGCTTTAACCTTCCCCTTGGGCTGAATGCATGACTGATGCAGAGTGAGAAAGAGGAAGGAAATGTAGCCGCTATGGTCACAGGGTCTGTTAGATCAGAGCCTCAGGAAGAGAGGAAAGAGTCAACACTGTTTATGCTGATGACACGGATTGCTGGTTCCAGACAGGCCTGGAGATGAATCTATGTATTTAGGTCTTCCATCAAGTCCTTAATTATGCAGGAGAGGAGAAGGGACATATTCATGGTCTTGGGCAGTTGGGTAGCAGGCTTGCCAGAGATCAGTCCTGGCTTCAGCTGGATGCCCCTTGGTGAGCTCCATCATTTCTTTAGAGCTTGGGTGTCTTGTTTGGGAGGTTGAGTAGCCTAGGCTAATTGTTCCCCTGTGATCCTAAGAAGGTGTTATTTTTAGGCTGAGCTTTCTTACAAAAAGCCCTGGACACAGTTTTTTTATTTTCTTGGGGACTGCATCTCAAATGAAAAAACAAAAACAAAAAACAAAGCAAAACAAAATCTCCTTGATTTTGAATCACACTGCTTATTTGGTCCATTTTAGCTATTTCCGGAAGGGGCCCTTCTTCGGCCTGGCCTGCTTCGCCAACATGCCCGTGGAGAGCGAGCTGGAGCGTGGAGCACGCATGAAGTCCGTGGGCATCCTGTCTCCATCCTACACCCTGCTTTACCGGTACATGCACTTCTTGGAGAACCAGGTTCGGTACGTGGCTTAGATACACGTGCGGGAGGCGGCAGGAATCTGCCAGCTGGTGTCTTGATGAGTCCTTGGCGATCATGGTTGTGTGCCAAAGCAACAGATGCCTTTCCAAGAGCCTCCTCGATCATGTTTCATCCCTCAGGTGGTGGTCTTTCTGTTTCAGCTAAGGTATCACCTAATAATTCTTCATACCATAATGAAAGCTGGGGTAGATTTTGCTTATTTTAACAGTCATCCATTTTGTCTGATTAAATAATTTGCTGCCATATGCATGACCTTTGTTTCCTGGAGCCATGATAATAACCTCCTCGCCCCAGGAAGGCAAACAGACTCATAATTTTTTTAAAGCCTAATCATTTATTTAGGAGAATTATTATTACGTGGGTAATAGGAAGGGAATTTTTGCAGAAGTAGCAAAACTATTGGTCACTTAACTTTTTTTTTTTTTTTTTTACTATGTAAGTACTCCAATTTCATTTCAGATTTTGAGGGAGAAATCTATCCCTAATCCTTAAAATGTTGTTAAAATTTTAGTACATTTGCCTCTTTTCTGACTTGTGTGTGTGTGTGTATACTATAAAAAATATATCCCTGGCATTATACGATATATATACATACATACACTTATCTCCTGTACTTTTTAGATATATCGTTATTTTTATTTTTTATATAATCTCTTATGATCATTATCTTTGAAACTACATGAAATTTATTGTTTGTGTGTGGGGGGACTTGTTTATTTAAAAATTTATATAGAAATACAAATGAATTTTTAAAATCCTCCCAAACACTCAGAGAGATGTTCATTTTGTAAAATCCTCCCACTCAGCGAGAGACCTATTTTCAATATGCAGTAAATACCATTATAAAATATAAATAATTTTATAAAATTGCAATTAATATTTTATGAGGATTTAATTTTATCAAATAGGCTGTTTTCATGAAGTATATTTAATTTTGTATCTATTAGGAACAGAATAAATGAAACTGAAGGAATTGTCAGACTTTAAGGGAATATATATTTTTTCCACAATAAGATATCTTATTTCTTGATCTCTTCCTCCAAAGTTAAGAAAAAAAGATGAAAAACATGAAGATCCGGTATCATTCTAATTTTTCTTGAGGAATAACATGTACGGTAAAGTGAAGAAATCTTTGTATAGGTGTCATTGGTTTTTAAATTGCATTTCAGCTGTTGACATAGTCCATTATCTTATACTCTTACCCAGTTCTTCTCCCCTACTTCCCATCTCAATTTTTATAGTTTGCAAGATCTATTACATGAAGTTCTATAATTATTAATCCCTCAGTTCTTAACTCTCAGTTGCAGATTTCTTACCCTTTCAGGACTCGACATGGCTTACTACAGTCCTAAATTCCGACATGATTTATTTCTTGGTTGGTTGGATTTTGCCATAAAGCATTCCCCCCCCCCCCCCCCCCCATGAAAGGATTGTGAGTGCTGTCTTCTCTGAGGTCTTACCTGCTTAATCATATCGGTCTGTTACCTGTACTCTCGACTGGTTATAAGATTCTTGAGTCTCCCTTTTTTCATCTCAGGATGCTGGCCTATCTCCTAATATTAGCTGTTTTGGAGAAGTTGTTTCTGTCTCGGTACCTTAGATTCGTTCTCTATCTGTGACGTTTCTGAACTTGTCTTTTTCTGGGATAGTTTGCCCCCTTTGATATACAGATATGTCTTTTATTTTTAATTTCAGGAATCTTTCCTTCTATAATAAAATATTCAATTTTTCCTTCTTCAAGGGTACCAGTCATGCATATGTTCTCTCTGTATTATTATTTGGGGATGATTTTAATAGCTCTATAATGCTAGAGCTGGCCTACAGTTTATTTTATTATTCTCTGGGGCTGAGGATTTAGCATGTTTCTAACTTTTTTTAACTGCTTCTCTGTGTTTTAGAGCTGCAGTGAACACTGCATGTATCCTTTTTCTCTATTTTAAATATTCCTTCAGTTTTGAGTCTCAAAAGTAATATTATGGAGTAAAAGAAAACATTTCTTATCAGATCCTGACACTTTATATAATTGATTTTTTACAGAGAGGAAGAGAGAAGGATAGAGAATGAGAAACATGGATGAGAGAGAAACATCAATCAGCTGCCTCTTGCATGCCTGGGGATGTGCTAGCAACCAAGGTACATGCCCTTGGACCAGAATCGAACCTGGGACCCTCGAATACGCAGGCCAACAATCTATCCACTGAACCAAACCAGTTAGGGCAGATCCTGATACTTTTTAAAAATTATTACTCCTTTTGAAAATATTAATTTCCCAAATGGCCAGTATCTTCTACAGTTATACAAAGATATTAGGGCCCTGGATAAATGGTGATAAGAGATACAATGGCTCTAATAAGATAGAAGGATCCTTCTCTCATGGAACAATCTGTAGAGAGACAGGTGGTGAGGGCGGGCAGCCTGCGTTCCACATGATTGTCAGGGACCCATGCTGCTTCTCTCTCAGTATCCCACCAGAGAGGTTTTCTCTGTTCTGAGCGGCCTTCAGTGTTCAGAGCTGCTCCCAATACTATGGCTCCATCCAGCCCAGCGGACAGGGAGGCCTGGGGGTTGCCTGCATCACTTCTCACTGTTATCATGTTCTCAGTCACAGAGACACCTCACAGCAGGGGAGACTGGAAGGGCCCTTGCTAGGTAGGTGACCTTGAGACCAGTTAAAATTCTGGGGCTTCTGTTACAAACAGGAAGAGGAAAGAATGGATTTGGAAGGGAAATTAGCAACCCCTCCTCTGTTTGGCCTTCTGGCTCCCTGGGCACCCTCATGTGCTCTTCTTCCCACCCCAAGAGAGACCTCACAGAGGCTCATTCTGTTAATGCCTTCGGCTGAGATCGAGGGTTTCCGTCTGATCTGAGGCAGACCTTTTCATTAGGTGAGGACAGGCTTCTCCTTAGGAGAAACCTATCAAAGAATAGGCAGACTCACCCATTCCTCAACTCCCAGACACAATATAGAAGCTAGAGTGGAGACCACCATGTAAACTCCTTTTGGAAAAGGGAAGAGAGGGAAGTACAGGCAGTTGTTAGTCCGTAACAGCAGTGAGATTCCACCGAGCAGGACTGCAGGCTCCTTGTCCCAACAGAGCGGAGGCCCATGGCTAGGCTTTGCTTCCTTCTAAGGTCATGTCCACCTCCCTCATGACCACTTCCCAACCACTTCTTGAGGTTGCCAGATTTGGGGGTGTCTAGTGGTTTCTTTGAAGGTTGAAAAGTTAGACTTTTATAGGCCGGTCATGTGACCATTTATAGCTCACTAACAACAGCAAGGAGCAGTCAACATTCTGGTTCCCACTGCTGCCCCTCAGATGATGCAGGGCTTGCCTCCCAAGTTATTGAAGTGCTAGCAATTTTTATGTTCCAATATAACAAGGGTCACCAGCTTTCTTTTGAGTCTGCAATATTTTGTTACCCCTTTCCCTTCCCAGCTGCTAAGCCAGTGCCATGTGTGGTTTTGACACTGTGGCTACTCATTTCTAGGTGTCATTTTTTTTTTGCTTTAGCTAGGCTACATTGCTTTAACAAAGAAATCCAAAATGCAGCAAATTAAACAAGGTAAAAATACAGCTCTTTTTTAGCTTGATTGTTACCAAATGGGAAAAGCCCTCCAGGATGGTAGGTGGCTGTTCTGGGTCATCCTGGGACCCAGGTCTTTCTATCTTGTCTTCTGCCATCTTCTAGAGAATTGTCTTAAAAAAAAAAAAAAATATATATATATATATATATATATATATATATATAATTATTATTATTATTATTTTTTTTTTTTACAGAAAGGAAGGGAGAGGTGTAGAGAGTTAGAAACATCAATGAGAGAGAAACATCAATTAGCTGCCTCCTGCATACCATTACTGGGGATGTGCCTGCAACCAAAGTAATGCCTTTGACCAGAATCAAACCTGGGACCTTTCAGCCGCAGACCGAAGCTCTATCCACTGAGCCAAACCAGTTTTGGCTAGAGAATTATCTTCATCCACATGGTAGAAGCCTGCTGATCATTAAAATGTCGCACGTCCCAGGAACACATTGCTTCTGCTCACATTCCATTGGCCACATCTTATCACTAGCCACACCTTATAGCAAGAAAGTCTGGGAAATGTGGTCTTAAACTTGGTGGCTATGTGAGCAGTTAAAATTTGGAAGGTCCCATTACTAAAGGAATAAGAGAATGACAGTCTCTACCACTAGCAAACAATTAAGTTGGTACAGTTCCCACATCCATCCAGTTATCCCAGTAATCACTGTCAATTTCTCAAGACCTTGTGTATGTGTGTATACAAATGCAAATGTAGACTCTCATTTCCCCTTCTTCATATAAAAGGTAACGTGTTCTACATGTTTTGTGTCTTGCCGCTTTCATTAAACATTATATTTGGGAGGTCTTCTCATATTTCATATCTTCAATGATGTTTCTTTCTTGTTTCTTACAGTTGTAAATGTGCCCTGTATAGAAGAACCATGTATTCTTTGTCAAGTCCTGTATTGATAGGCATTTGGTTCTTTCCAGGCTTTTGATATTTCAAGTACCACTGCACTGAACACCCATGAACAAGTATCATTTCATAAGTCAGCAGAATATGTGTTCATTCAATTCCCAGAAATAAAACTAGTAGTTCAAAGGGTATATGTATTTCTAATGTTAAGAGAGATTGTGGCATTGCTTTCCGTAGAGATTGTACCATTTTGCATGCTCAACAGTAATTCAGGGGGGTGCTGTTTCCTCCCCACATTGCCCACACAAAGATAAAAGCCTTGAATTTTGGGCATTCTGGTAGGTAAAACATGGTACACGAGTAGTTTTAATTTGCATTTTTAAAAATATATTTTTATTGATTTCAGAGAGGAAGGGAGAGGGAGATAGAACTTCATTGATGAGAGAGAATCATTGATAGGCTGCTTCCTGCATGCCCCCTACTAGTGATTGAGCCTTCAATCTGGGCATGTTCCCCCACTGAGTATTGAAAATTGGGA